AAAAAAAAAAAAAAAAATGGTTTATTTAGAACATGATTGATGGGCTCGGCATAACTGGCTACGAAGGCACATATCGAAGGGTTTGCGAGATCACACTTTCGACTCTAAGGGCGAACAAGGAGACACTCATGAGTGTTCTGGAGACCTTTATACACGATCCTCTTGTGGAGTGGACTAAGCACCATAAGTCTAGTGGAGTCGAAGTACAGAATCCACACGCACAGGTTCGAGTTTTCGTTCTCCGTAAATGGGTTCCATTGGCCATAAAGATGGCAATTTTGGCCCTTCTGTTTTTCTTAAAGAAGAAAATATTTATATTGAAATTATTATGGTTGAATATTTTAGCGAGCCATCAGTAACATGGAAGCACGGTTACAAGGAGTTGTGGTTGGTGTAGGGGCAGCACCATCGTTGCCTCTCGCCGTAGAAGGACAAGCTCTTCGTCTAATAGCAGAAGCTGTTTCGCTTAAAAACCTTGGAAAGATGTATATATGGTGGATGCCTTGGTTTTAAAAGCTGGCTGGATTCCAGTATTCTTGTTTCTCTTCTTTACGGTGCTTGAAGAAAGGCGATTAAGTGGTGAGTCATGAACTTTATGAATTTATATTTTTACTATTTATTTATGGCTACAATGAGTTGATTTACATAATTGGAGACACTATATTCATCAGATGGTCAACTTTCAAGTGGCGCTGGCCGGATTTTGGGTATGATAATCACCTCGTGCGTTTTCAGCATTGCCAATTTTTGTGAGGTTGCTTAGATGACATTATGGCCTTGCTGTAAGAGGTAACTCCACTTTTATATTATCTTCCAATTTAAATGCTCTTGCTTACTGTGGCTTCTCTTTTGTGGATTAGTTTTTACTCATTTCATTGCATTTTGAATCGTCAGTCCAACGTTTCAACCCCCGAAATCCTGCTGAAAAACCGATCAGCTGAGATGTATTGCCACAAGACAAGCCAGATTGCCAGGAGGTAAGGGAATTTTAATTAAGAACAATAAACAGCTGAGTGAAGATGTTTTGCCACAAGACTACCAGATTGCCAGGAGCTGATCACTAGTGCCTCGCGCCAAAAGTTCTTCAGTTTTGCTACAGTTTGGATAATTGCGAAATATTGTGCTGCTTTTATTCATGCTGTTTTCGAAACGACGATGATATTTTGGTATGAACGCATGCATCTTTTGGAGAAAGTGCATTCAGATATACCCATTAATAGTCATATTGGGTCATCGTATAATTGTAATGTTGTATACTAGCAACAAATTTCATTTCCAACATTATGAAAGTCAAATTTACAGTATTCAAAACTAAATTGCGAGATTTTTAGGCCTTTTAATTAAAGGTAGATGCAACTGGATATAGATAATTTTTAAAAAAATATAAAAAATGTTCCAATGGAAAAGGTGGGTTATTATTATTATTATTATTATTATTATTATTATTATTATTATTATTATTATTATTATTATGTGTGGATTTACGAAATATTTTGAAAATGTAAACGGTTATAAGGCAAAATGTTTACTTGATAGAATTCAGTAGCCACTTCCTGAAAACTTTGCCTTTGCCAATAAAACAACCATTATTCTTCCTATCCATTATTAAAGGGCATTTCATCCTCACAACCATTTCTTTAGCTAATTTTTTCACAGGTGAATCGCCTTGTCTAGGGCTATTCTTCCCTCGCCCACAAACAATCGAAATCTTCTCAGGTGTCACATAATCCTCACAATCGAACCTCACTCTCGACTCGTTGAACCACTGTAGCAAAATCAAATATGCACTCGCCAAATGCATCCCGTGCAAATCCAGTTTCGACTCATTTTCATTCCACACCATGGCCTCATCCAAAACACTCGTTTTCATCAATTCCATCACCAAATTCACCTCCTCATCAGATTCCAAACTACACGACAGCTCATCAATCGATAAAGGCCAATTCTTTGTACCTATCACCAACGAGTTAATTCTCGGGCAAGAGTTCAAGACAGAATTATACGTTCTAACAGAGAGAGGTACATTTAGATCCCTCATTTTCTTCAACCAAACGAGCATATCAGGAAGCTTGTTGTTCGCTCCGAGAGATGAAAGCACCATGTTAAAACAAATCGTATCGAGCTCAAATCCCTCGTTTTCCATCTGACAAACAACCCTCTTCATATCCTCGAGAAATCCATTCTGCCCGTAACTGTACACGACAGATTTCATCTCGTAAAAAGATACTTTTATCCCGTTTTCTCTCATTTCATCCATCAAAATCTCGGCTTTATACGGCAATCCAATTTCGCATAACCCTAAAATCATCGACACGTATCCTTTCTTCTTCAACTGAACAGACGATGAAGATAAAATCAGCTGCTTCAACCGTTCGCACACATCCAAACACCCCCCTTCGTACTTGTGAACAGCGTAGGCCGTGATTAAATTGATGTAAAACGTGTATAGTTCCTTTTCGTTATGGAACCCTACATTCAAAGCTACTCCATCAGACAAATTTTCAGCATAATCAATTTCAAACCCTAATTTCGAAACTATTCCATCAAACAGTTTTTCAGCCTCATCAAACCTTCCTTCCTTGTGTAAGAAAGCCATCAGATCCGCCACTACCTTGGTGTTCCACTGGAACCAGGACTTTTGTTCGATCATCGAGTACAGCTGCAAAAGCGCACATAAACTGTTTGAGAAATTGCCTTAAAGATATTTTTAGTTACAGGTACGAATGTAGACTGAGATATACTTACAGGAAATGCGATAGAGGAGAGATGAGGAATGGAGCAGGAAGGAGAGATGATATGAAGGAGGGTGGTTAGGGTTACGTAGCGGGACGACGAGGCTACGAATCTGCGAAGCAATCCAGAGGTCGCTGAAGGCTCCTTGGACGTGGCGGCGACGGCAGAGAGAAACCGGTGACCTTGTTGGGTCAGGCCACATTGCGGCGTATACCACCGGGAACCGGCAGAAAGTGGTGGCGCTTGCAGCCGAAGAACGGGACTTCTGATCATCATTGATGGTCACACAATCTCGTGTGTGTAGTAGATAAAAGTGGATGACAGAAATATACATTTATGTCCATGAAATAAATTCCACAGTCGAGCTCGATTTTGATGGACCCAAGCCGAGATCGAGCAGCTCGAGCATGCTATCGAGTCGATCTCGAACATAGGTTTGGGAAGGTCGAGCGAGCGACTCGAGATATATACTGAATTACTAAAATACCCATTATATATAAATATTATAATATTTTAGGTATGTACTTAACAGTAATTTTAATTGAAATTCAAGCTGCACTCGAGTCGAGCTCGAGCAACTTGTCAAACATTTTGATTTCAATCGATCTCGAGTGATTGTCTTCTTTTGTCGAGTCGATCTCGAGCGTCATAAATAACTCGAGCTCGAGCAACCTGTCAAGCATTTGATTTCAATCGATCTCGAGGCGATTGTTTTCTTTTGTGAGTCGATCTCAAGCGTCATAAATCGAGTTTGCGTTCGAGCAGGTAAAAAAAAAAAATCTTACTTGATAAGGCTAATGCTTAACTATGCTAGACTTGTTTGCAGCCCTAAATTCACATCATTTTTATGCACTGCAACTTTAATTCTTCCTAATAAAACATCTCTAACAGTTTTTTGGTTGGAATTGAAATTGCAAATGAAAGATTGTGTCCTTACCGCTAAATATTTGCAACTATTTTTTTGTTCAAAGTTTGGAATAAATTGACAAAACTTGAAAAATATTATTTTATTTGTAATTAGGCCTTGAAATAATTTCACAAAGACATGTAATATTTAGAAAACATGTTATTTAAGTAAAATTGTTATGGCAAATGTTGCCCCTAATTAGAAGTAGAAACGGGGCGAATCAAGTTCAAACTCTTGATATGTGCTCCCACGAATTGATTTGGATGAGCACTCTTCCGCGTAGACCGAGTAGTCATTGATGAAACGAAGTTCAGTCACTCACTGGGGAGAGGTAATTGAGAAAAGGAAAAGTGAAGTTGTTTAACCTTTTCACATCAGCTACGCCATCAGAGACACGAAATCTCGTATGAGAAGAAAAGAGAACCCCGCGACTCGGCAAGGAATTAGCCAATGCAGTACTAAGCTAGTGTTTCATAACTTTAATCTGAGTTGCAGACCCTACTTGTTGGGAATTCCAACCACACCGAAACTCCGCCCAAGATCCTCTGAAAATAAAAAAACTGGAGAACACAAAATTTAACGTGGAAAACCCTCTGTTAACGAAGAGGGAAAAACCACCAGGGCAACAAGGACGTAGAAAATCTACTATGTAAAAAAAAAATTACACAATTTTTCTACCACTCACTTACCCAAAATTACCCCACAGAATTTTCTACTCGTTAACCCTAACTCTCACCCTAAGAAATTTTTACCCTAAGGAATTTTTTTACTAGAGATTAATTGTTAACACAATAACTCTGTGGGATGATTTTACATAAGAAGTAGCACTTTCTTATATAGGAGAAAAATCTCCCTCTCTTTCATTCCACGATCGATGTGGGACAAAGAGCAAAACCCAACAAACTCCACCTTGCGATTTTGGCCCATCTGACAGCCACTATTCACTTTGATGAAATTTTTCATACCTTTCGCCATCATGCTCCACCATAA